GTTTATAACTTTTGTATCATATGTTTTTTTCTGGATTTTTGGTTGATATTCTGTCTCTATCATTTAAAATACTCCTATAATAAAAATTATAGACCCTTCATTTCTTTGTAAGTGGGCATACTTTCAAAATTTGCAGGGGATCAAATAATTATTTTCCCCACTGTAAAAGGATATCAAAAGCCTTAATTATGCCAGTCAGTACTGTTCAATCAAAAAGGATAAGTTCACCTTTAAAATAAAACAAAAAAGAATGAAATCATTACCTAATATTGTGTTGAACTGCCTTTTGGCATCCATGATGGCCTGAATTCTCCTGGGAATTGACAAATATATATCCTGGATGGTGGATAGTGGATTTTGATACCACTCTTCATTCAGAAATCAATTCAGTACTCGCAGAGATGCCAGAGGCGGAAATTGAGCCTGAATCTTGTTCTCCAAAATTGACCATAGTGGCTCTATGATATTGAGGTCCGGCGACTGCAGCGCTCAGGGAAGGTGTGAGATTTCATCTGCATGCTTGTCAAATCACGATTTGACAACATCAGCTCTGTGATTCGGAACATTATCATCTTGGTAAATGGTGCAGTCTTCTGCAAAACAATGTCTGCACAGTGGGGTGCACATGGTCGGCCAAAATTTTTACAAAGTCATTGGCAGTGACTCTACCTTTCAAGGTGATGATAGTGCCTGCAGCATACCAAGATATGATAGCCTAAACCATGATTGCTCCGCCACCATGCTTTACAGTTGGCATAAGACAGTCTGGGTTGTAAGCAATTGTTTGCCACAAGTAAACAGATCCGGTGGTTGGGAACAATGTGAATCTCGATTCATCTGACTATTTTATAGTCTTCCATTGATCCACAATTTATGGGTGTTGCACCACTCTCTCCTCTTCTGAGTATTAATATCGGTCAAAAGTGGTTTGGTAATTGCAGTTCGCCCGTGAATGTTTTGCTTATGGAGTTCCCTCCGCACAGTTTTTGTGGACAGACTGAGATTGAGCTCTGCAGTTGCAGCAGATGTTTTCTTATTCTGGGTCACAATCCTGCGCAATGTCCTTTTGTCTCTTTTGGTCAGTTGACCATGTTGACCGAGTTTATGCTTATCAGTAGCTGTTTTCCTGGAAACTGTATATGCCATCATAACCTTTGATACTGTACATCGCAACACCTCAAATAAATTGGCAACTTCAGTCACAGAAGCACCATCTAAGCCAGCACCAACAATTTGCCCTCTTTGAAGCTCAATAAGATCTGACATGACTCTGTATTACTAGCAGTGCATGCAGTGAATGACGAAAGTGAGGCTTCCCACCTGTTAAACATACCTTTGTCAATAAAAATGTCTATTGGAAAAATAAATAAATACATTTAAAAAAAGCCCTACATAGACACACCATAAAAGAGCACAAGTGTCAGAGCCTGGACTCGAACCTGGGACCTCTACTTTGTCTGGCAGTAATTCTCACTGAGCTACCTGGGATGCTGGACAACACTCTACCTGATCTATTGGATAATCCTGCCTTGTTTTCTGCTGAACCTTGAACTCCTTGCTCCTCCCATGAACTTCCTGATTTAAGCCATGTCTCTGCACTTCCTGTTTGCCAGATTATTGTGCCTTCTCCAGCCAGTATCTCGCTCTCGTCTCTCCTGCTGCCATCCATACCTTCACTACCGACCCTTGGATTGTTCCTTGACTACGATTCTGCCTCATCCCAACCTGCTACTGCTTGTTACAGATCCTTGGCTTGTTTACTGATTACGCTTCTGCTAGATCCCTACCTGTCATATCTGTTACTGGATCCTGGCTTGCTCACTTCCTGGTGGGGGCAATCCTGAGAACTGTGACATGGTACTAACACGCAGCAAAACCCATCTCCATCAGGAGCTCTGGTGAATACTGGATAGTGCTTAGACCCTGCACCTCGGGGGAGCTTATGTCATTTTTCAGGGTGACCTGCTTGTTTACCTATCCTATTGGTTGGTCTGCTGCTATAGCTTCTGGTCTCTGAGCCTGACCTCTGACAGCAAGAGAATTACTGCAAACTTTGTGACACAATGGGGTTTATTTACTAAAGCTGCTTCACTTAGACTCTGGTGTGCCTGTGCATGGTAGCCAATCAGCTTCTAACTTCAGCTTGTTCAATTGGGTTTTAGCAATAAAACCTGGAAGCTGATTGGTTTCTATGCAGAAGTGCATGAGATTCTGAGTGAACTAGCTTTAGTAAATAAACAAGTTTTAAGTTAAATTTTAAATGTAAATTTCTCACAAGATCACTTTTTGAAAGACATTAATGTTTAGGTTCTTAAAAGAAATTTAAAGAATACTCGGCAAAAGAAAACCTTTGAACTGTGAATGATGATTCTGTGTGACACAGGAAAGAGTGAATGTGGACCTCGGTTTTCTAAATCACTATCAAATAAAATACTGTAGTATTATGACCATTCTCACCTCTGGAAATTTTTTCCCTTCCTCACATTCCATAGCCCACCTCTCTACCCCTTTTCTGATTTTTTTTTTCTCAGAAATTGTTGTCTGTATTTTTCTTAACAACTTGCTAAACCTTTCGTGTATCATTACTGCTTGGACCTTAGCTTGAACGTTTGTCCTGAAATTGTAAAGCTACATACACAGCACAGTAGGTGAAGTTTGATTAAAGTTGTTCTATAGGATTCTACAAGTGAAAGTGTCCATTAGTACCTATCTATATCCATTTGCATCTAAGGTGTAGGAAGCACCCAACCTAACTGATACTTCAAAGATAGATACCATCTCTGCCTTTACTTTCCATCATTCAGTTATATGCAGAACAAAAGTAGTTTTCTTATCCATTTGATGTAGATAGTACAGATACTCATTTCGACATTATAAAGAAACCAGTAAAGGGATTAGATTGAGAAATCCAAATAAACAAATCCTGCTAGGACTGGATTTAGTGAAGAAGAAAGAATTCACTTTTGTAAATTCTAGTAGACAATTGGCTGCCCTGTAGCTAAGAGGACGTGAATGCAGAAAGTGGAAGGTCATCACATGTTTAGTAATTAAGTAAATAATTTTGAAATGCAATATTCAAGTGGGTTTTTCCAAAATTTCCCAACAATTTTCTGGAATCAGATACATTTATTGTAAACAGCTGAGCCAGAGACCATCCCTCTCCTTTAAAACGGCTATAAAACTTCAATCAAGCTTCCTTCCACATTCTGCACAGCAAGACGACTGTGAGGTACAATAATCAGTGAATGTGAACACTATTGTATATCATGTCTTGGAATGCTGCATTAATGTTTTTGTTTCTTCTAGGTATTTTAAGAACACAAACATGAGTTTTTTTGCAATTCTTATTCTTTCCACTGTGGCCAGTAAGTACACTAAAATGTAATTACAAAATGAGTTTATCTTTTAGTCTTCATCTGTAATCAAATATGCGGTGAGGTTTACAAATCTAAAATTAAAAAAATGCTTGATTTCCATTGATATACATGTACATATGCTTTGATACTGACAAAAGGAGGAACCAGGTATAGCAATGAACTGTTTTGTCTTGGCTTCTAGGTTAATAAAGCTGAATTCTAGGCAGGGCACAAATAATTTGTCACAAGTTCCATAACTATGTGATTGTGTGTATGCTGGAATCCTTTGCAACCTATTCTCACCCACGATGATAGGACCACATTCCTGTCTTCTTCAACAGAAGTACTTCCCAGAAGCCTCTGCACTCACCTAAGCCAGTTAAAGTGTTACTAAACCCAGGGTCCTGCATTCACTAGATCTGGTCTCCCACAGTACACAGAACATGGAAATGCAATTATTTTAGTAAATATAAACTGCTAAATATCTTTTCCCATCAGCAGTTAGAGCAGTCTTGTGACTTCTATCAGTGTCCAACATAGCACTGGTTAGAGCTTGTAAGAGGAGTTTTCATTCTCCTGTAGGAGGATGCAGAACCCCTAACTTCTGTCTAGACAGTGCTGATTGGCTCTGTGCTGATCACATGCACCCTCCCAAGGAGAAAAAAAAAAAACCCTCTCTAGCAATACATGCCAAACTGAGCATGTGCGGCTTGTCCCCAAGCCTCTGTTCTATCAGAAGACATTTTGGAGATACTGAAAGTAGGGGAGGATCAGAGAAGACAGGATCAAACATCCTTTTTACACAATGTGGAGGAATAACCCTTTAGGTTCCACAGTGAGTATAACAAGCATGTTTTACTACATACACAGACTTATTTTATTGTTGTGGGTTTAGTAACACTTTAAATGCAGCGCAGGCTCAAATAGGGACAGCCTCTTCCACCCTAATCCATTTATTCACTAGGCACACACGCAAATGTATATTTTGTTAATAAAGCAACTAACAAGGTGCAGTAACCTCTATCAATTACTCAGAAATCATGTGTTTGCGCTGCACACCTAAACATTGTTGCTTTGCATGATGTTAATCATCTTCATGCATATGCCCCAAGATGATTTCTACCTTTTAAGGTCTGCCAAGGATTATAAAGGGTGTCACGAATGAAACTTTTAGAAAAATGAAAGTTTAGTAAAAGGTGCACATTAGCAGAGTTAGTGGCAGCCTTTTAAACCTCTCTGAAAGTAATTTGACCTGGATAGCTTTTCAGAGAGCAGTTGACAAATGGCTGGGAGGTGATATGTCACATCTACCAGTGACATTGCCCATTAACCTCAACAGTGGGTCCTTGAGGGGGTTTATTCATGTATTACATTATTCATATGGCAAAAAATATAACTGGATACTAACATTTATAGGTAATAACAGGGGTAGTTGATCCAGGGAATATCAGATTGCCTCCTGGGGGATCAGGAAGGATTTTTTTCCCCAGCTAGAGCAAATTGGATCATGCTTTGAATCTCTTTTCTTTCCCAAGGATCAACTGTGAGTATAGAATTTTGTGTAAATGGAGGTTTTATATTTATTTTTTTGTATCTATTGGTTGAACTAGATGGACTTGTGTCTCTTTTTCAACCTGATTAACTATGTTACTAGTACCCTTGGGCAGCATAATTTCTAAATGGAGATTTGACCGTGTGTTTTCTTTTCTAGCCACTGTATACACATCTGGAATCTATGGGGACATCAATAAAGTTCCCACGACTGGTGCTACTTGTGCAACAGCCAAACAAGACAAGTTGAAATCTTGTGGTAAGTTATTACTAATCTGAATGTAGTGACTAAGGGGGCTACTTATAATATAGACCGATAACATTTTCTACAGGACACTGCAGCATTTTGTCCATGCTGCGTGCTGAATTTTACAAATCATTCATAAAATACAGGCTGTCGTGTGGTGTCTGGGGGGTCTTCTGCATAACTCTGCAGGGAACACTCTATTATAGGTAACCGTCATGCCTTACCTATATACTATATATTTTTTTTTTCTATGCCACAAAATGAGTGGAGCTTCTGTTGCTTTAAAGTCCCAAAGCAAGCAAAGTAGAGTGCTAAAGGCTGGCAGATTTGCAATATTTTAACAAAATAAATGGTTGAAAAAGGCAGGAAAACAAATATTGTTAGTGCTAAAAGAGACCAGTACTCAAAAAATACATAGGCTACTTTTACTCTTCTTTTGAAAATTATAATATTTTATCTTTATGCTGACCCTAATATTTTGAGTCGCTAGTCTTCATTTGCTGATGACATACAAAGTATCGACGCCAAGGACAGCATTTTCTGCAAGAGGTCAGCAATGGCATATTTCTCTCAGTACCTTTTTCCTTTTAATCATCTCAGCTCTGGGAAACTTGAAATTTATCCCTTGCAGTGGAACTGCACCCATACTGCAAGGATCAATTGCTTGTTTAGTCTAGGGGAGAGTAAAAGTGCTTTTACTTACCTGATTCTCTTCTCCTGCAGCATATAGAACTTCCCTATGCTCTGCTGGTGGACTGTCCCTCGGCGTCATCAAATCCAGTGCAAGGCTATGGACCTTGTACTGATCTTGATGACACTGCAGGGACCAGTCTAGCAACACTGAGGAGCTGAGGACTGGGTAAGTAAATCTACTTTAACAAGTCCCACTGCAAGGGATAACTTTTATGTTTTCCAGAGTTTAGCTTTAAGTAACAGAAGGGTTAAAAGGTTAAGCAATTGCTGAAGTTTGCAACTAGATAGAGGTTGCCTTGCTAGGACTGATAAGACAGTTACAGTGACCTAACTCCCTACTGGTGACCCAGAGAGCAATCAGATGCTGACAGAGCTACTAACTCTTCTTTGCTCTGTCAAAAAGTAAAAAATACATTTTAGCTGAGTTCCACTTTACCTGTAATATCATGGCCTATGAATATGAAATGTTTGTTATTCCATGATGATACTACTACTACTACAATGTAAATTATAGAAAACATTTTCTCCACATGTGAAATATCCTGTTACTTAAACTGCACAGTCACTGGCATTGCTATAAAAAAAGTTTTTAAATAGCTGGTGCTGATTCATTCTGCTATATGTTACTCACTTCTACTGTGTTAGGTTTTCATTGTTTTTCAAATACCAATATAAAGATCACTACTGACATATTTTCATCTTTTTTTTTGTTATGAAGGAGTTGAGGCTTCAAAAAGTCTGGCCCAGAATGACTTAGGACGGATAAATAAATACAAGAGTATAATTCTCTCAGTGGCTAGACAAAAACAGATGGATCCATCTGTCATTGCTGGTATTATGTCCCGGGAATCACGTGGAGGAAGCATTCTGAAAAATGGTTGGAGTGCCCATAACGGCGGCTTTGGCCTGATGCAGGTACTAGGATTATATCTACTTATAGAACATGTGAAGTGGTGCTGCCATTATTCTAGATCTTTATTCATTATGTTCACCATATGCTATTTTCAATGGCATTTTTATGTGTACACAGGTTTATTTAAATACGTAAGTAATAAGATGTAATAATAATTTCCCAAACTTGCAAGGAACCTCTCAAATGCTTCACTGTTGCCTGCAGATACTCATTATTGTACCGCTGTCCACCCCTTTCGGCTAACAAACTGCCTCCTGCTACAGCCGCCCCAGTTTCTATGTTTTTGTGCATAGTTGAGCCACTTAGCCTTTTTTTTACATTGGAGTTATGGCTTTTTGGCCAAAATTCTTCCATGTAGACTATTTTTGGCTAGACAGTAGATGGGTGTTCCTGAGTCCCACTGCTTTCCACCAGTTCTGTGCTGGCACTGCTGAACATTTGCCAATGTTGAAGCATGGAAGCATGATGTGTCTTTCATCTGCTGCAATATGTTTCCTTGGCCAATCTGTGTGTCTATGGTCCCCAACGCTGCCTCCTTAAAAGAGCTTAACCACTTCCAGTCTGGCTGCTGTATATAAACAACCAGACGGTGGCAGTCCAGGGGCGGGTTGCCGTTCATAAACGGCGCTCGCCATTTTGGATTGTGTGTGCTCCCTGGGAGCGCGCGGCATCGCGATCCGGTGCCCGCTCTGTCCGGAGGACACAGCGGAAACACCAATCACTGTACGGGACCTCTGTGTGAATAGGTGTAAGCAAGATGTCACTTCTGACATCATTGCTTACTACATGTGAAATCTGTGAATGATCACAGAGGTCACATGGTACAAGGCTATTCACAACAGCCTTGTACCATGTGACAAGCTGTGACCAATCACAGCTCACACAGTATTTCTCCTTCTCACTGGTTGCATTCTTGCAGCCATTGAGAAATGATTGTTTTTACAGCCTTGATGGGTGTAAAAGCAATCAGTGTAAAAAAAATTAAAAAAAATCTTAATCACCCTCCACAAGTAGTACAGTGTCACTATGGTAACACTGTACTCCTAGGGTGACAGTATGTTAAAAAAAACACATAAATAATAATAAATAAATATAAAAAAAAATTAAATAAAAATGTAAAAAAAAAATTATAATTTTTGGTTATAAACTAATTTGGGTTACTGTTTTTTACTAAAAAGATAACCAAATACATTTGGCTAAGATTTATGATGAAATATTATTTTTTTGCACAATATTCTAAAAAAAACACTTTTTTAAAAAAACGTTTGGACTTTATATAGCAAAAAAAAAAATCTCAGTGGTGAATAAATACCACCAAAATAAAGGTTTATCTGTCTCAAAACAATGCTAAAAAATTAATGTGGGTACAGTGTTGCATGACCGCACAATTGTCATTCAAAGTGTGATAGCACTGAAAGCTGAAAATTGCCCTGGACAAGAAGTGGGTGGAAGTGTCCGGGCATGAAGTGGTTAAAGCTAAAGCCTTCCATGTCTAAAAAAATAGCCCCTGGCAAAATAGTTCAATAGTATAGTTTACTATGCTAAGGGGGTGAAAGTGTCTGGACATGAAGTGGTTAATGAATTGATGCTGGCTTGAAGCCAAAGGGTTGTCATACCAGATATTGATTTGATTTAGTTTTTTCTTATTTGCTCACTTTGCATTTTGTAAATTAATAAAAACAAACAATTTAAAATATAATTTATTTTTTAAAGCATTCTTATGTTACAGCATTTCTTCACACCTGCCTTTATTTTTTGCACAGTACTATATACATACAATATTACTGGTGGTCAATACACAAAGTCACTAGGTGACCAAAAATGAACATATATCACAAATGATATTTCAAACACATACACAGATCAGGAAAAATTGTCTATACTGTATATCACACAAAAAGATTAGACTAATTTACTAAGGCTTTGTTTACACAGGCAGCCAAACAAGTGAAAAAGCAGGCAGTTGATCCCCCAACCCTCGAGCAGCAAAATAACATGGCCAGTGAACATGTTAGTACATATCACTACAGATGTGGCACAGAGAATATCATAAAGCCTGACATGTTTGGCAGACAGTACCACTGCTAAACATGACCAATTTAAGTGCATGGGACTGTGCTGCAACTGCAAATTATGCATGCAGTGCTGTGGGCTTTCGCTTGTGAAAGCATTCAGAAGGTAACATATTTCTTCTTTGAGCCACCTGTTAAATGTCTCTGAAAAGCGATTCTTCGTGGCACACCACTGCACATGCAAACAAGATCTAAATCACCGGCCACACTGCTGTGATTTAAAATCATTTGTGTGCAATTTCAGGTGCGATTTCTGAAGACTTTTCATACTACTTGTGAAGATTGTCAACGATTTCTTGCAATTTGCAGTGCGACTTCCATTATATTCTATGTATGTGAAATCGCAACAAAACTGCAGGAAAAGTAATACAAGAACTACTTTAGAAATCGCGCTGCAGCAAATCACACATGTTAAGACACTTTATCACGTACCTGGTGTTAGAGGCCAATGGAGAGAGGGCTTCCCTTGTGGCTAAGTACAGACTCCCCTGGATATGGGACAGAAGGAGTCAGGGCCAAAGTATCACAGGTCTCCTGTAGGAGTGCTTGTCAGAGGTATACCCAGGAGCACAGCTGATGCACTGGAATGGTGTCTGCAGACAGGTGGTGCCCGTGAGAGGTATGCAGGCCTTCAGGGTACCAGAGGACCACAGAGTAGTCAGTTCAAAGCCAAGGTCAGATGCCGGGTGGAGATTGGAGCAGACGTAGTCAATAGGATAGCCGGGGTCATACACAGGAGAGCGAGTGAGAATATCTATTAGCCAAGCCGAGGTCAGATCAGGACAGCAGGTGATAATATCTATTAGCCAAGCTGAGATCCGATCAGGAGAGCAGGTGAGAATATCAGTTAGCCAAGCCAGGGTCAGATCAGGAGTCAGGCAGAAAAGACAGGCCCAAGAACAAGCCAAATTGGTAACAGGAGATCACAGTAGCAAGGGAACATGGACAAAAGTACTGGGGATCCAGAGATCAACCAGCAATTTGAGGGAGTGATGGGCTTCCTTATAAAGGCCATCTTGCGCCAAACTGAGCTAATGCATGCATAACTATGTGCCAGTGCACATGAGTGTTCCGGCTTGCGTCCGTGCGCCAATGCGCATAGATTTGCCAGCGTGCATTTCTGCAGCCATGCAGGTCTCCGAGTACCTCTGCTGTGGACAGAACACTGACATTCACATTCATTAGATGCGATTTTAATTCTCAAATCGCCCCTGAAATGGCATCGGTGTGACCAGGCACTAAAGGAGAATGATTACACAGTAATTTGTATATACTTAAATAAATAATTTATGCAATAACATTAAGATGAGCAAATAAATAGGGATTTGCTTTTCACGTAATTGGATAATGAAGTGAACATTCTCAACAATTTTTGAACAACCTCCACCAACGCTCCTAATCCCTGACCTCCATTTGCTTTGCCCTTGGGAAATATCCAATGTTTCTGGGTATGGTGGAGCATAGGACCTCCTTCCAGGATGAACGGGCTCAAGCCTTAGTAGCCAATGGGTGAGCCCGAACACTGTTATGTGAAAGAGGGGAGGAAGTCATGAATACTGTGAACCATTTCCAGCACCATCCTAAACCTAGTTTACAGAGTGTTTGACTGTTAGCTCCAAAGGATGAAATTGTGGTGGTGTAGTGTGGTGAAGGTAAGAAAAGTGGGTCAGTTTTTTTTTTTAACAAAAGACTGTCACTGTGGCATGAATGAGTGGTAAAGTCTCTCTAAATGTACCTATCTCAAAAAGTATGCCCCCCTCTAGCCATGCCCATGATTGGTTAATACATAATTTTATTTTTCCGCAATATTTACTTGTTAATAGTGGTATGCAGAAATTAAAGTGGTTGTAAACCTCTTAAATGAGAACGTAACAAAGTATATCCTTCAATAGTGTGTACCTGCCTCTGATCTCTTGTTCCTCTGCTAGCTGCATGAGTCACTTCTGACAGTCTAACTCCACACCACAGAATCCTGGGTGATGTGTGTCCCCCCCCCCCTCTCCGCTCCAGCATACAACAGGTGATTGATAGTGTGTAGAGGGGGGGCGAGTCCATTCCCTCCACTCAGGTCTTCGATTACACTCAGCTCTCATCTCCTTGCTGTGCAGTGTGTAATATTAGATCTCCTCCCCCTGGCTTCTAGAGCTAAGAAAAAGCCTTTGCTCTGTATGTTTTATGGAGGATGTAGAGAGGGCTACATATAAACAGGTATGACTTATGTAGGAGGATTTGTTTCAACCCTGTGTATCACATGAGACTAGTTATTTCATTGGGTGTAAGGGTTTACATCCACTTGCATATTCATATGGTTCAGTCACAGATATACATAATTTTTTCACAAAAAAACTGTACATGTGTTTGCTATGCTATATGTTTGGCAAAAGGTCATGAAATCCCCATTTGTATACCTGATATTTTACTGCTTAACCGCTTTATGATCACCCAACGCATATGTGTGGGAAACAAAGGGTGGGCTTTAACGCCTACAAACTGCACATATATGTCACTAGGCACCGTTATGCATGTGCTGAGATCGCACTTTCAGCATAAAAAAAATGACAGTGGTCACATGATCACTGATCCTTCCAGCCCCCAGGCATTCCAGAGAGTTTAAAGGATGCTGTGGTGGGCAGGAAGGGGTTAAAACAATGTAAATTAAAAAAAAAAACACACACACACACAACAAACACCCAATCACCTTCTAGGTATTTATTATAATTCTACAATATAGTTCTTGCTTTGCCCAACTTGTAATAACTATAAATGGTGGCATATATAATGTACAGTCCTATCTTCTTCTGTTCTCTTCATATTGCCATTATTTGTGTGCTAGATCACAGCAAAGTGGTTTCTTCTCTTCCAGTGGACCAATACACCACTTATGCCTTAAATAATGTAAGGGTTTAGCTGTAGCATTAGCAATGTTGTAGATCATCACAGCTATTTGATGGTGTTCATTAAAGCTGCTTATAACTTGCATTTGCCTTGGCAGATTGATGAACAGTACCACAAACCTATAGGAGCCTGGGATAGTGAAACACATATTGCCCAGGCAGTAGATATTTTAATTTCAACATACAACCAAATTGAGAATAAATTTCGAGGGCAATCCAAAGAAAATATACTGAAAGGTAAGAACATATGTAGCATGTAGAAAAGCAAAGACTCTGTTGAAAAGTATTGTCTGTATCACACTCATGGTTAAGGGCCTGTTCTCACCAGCAGCTGCATTAGAATGCAACATTTCATGAAGGTCTATTGACCAAAGCATGGTGTGATGTGGATTGTGTTGCACCACACTGCACTGAAAAACAATACTGCATGTCATACTGTTTTCAGTGCACACCACCGCAATACAGAGGCATGAAGTAGCATAAAAGGGAACAAGACGTTTGCCGTGTCTTGCATTGAGACTGTGCTGGGCAAGGCTGGCCAACACAGTCCTAACACACTTGGTATAAATGGGCCCTAATACATCTCCTCTCAAAATTAGCTTGCAATAAAAACAGTTTTTGTGTTAAGGGTGCTTTATTATTATTATTATTATTATTAATGCAGGATTTATATAGCACCAACAGTTTGCTCAGTGCTTTACAATATAATGGGAGACAATACAGCAACAATACAGTTCAATACAAGAGGGATAGGAGGGCCCTGCTCCTTGGAGTTTACAATCTAAGAGGGAGGGGCTAGTGGTAAAAAAGGTAGTAACTGTAGGGGATGAACTGGTACGAGGAGTAGAAGATTCCATTATTAACTGAGGGCAGGATAGGCTTCCCTGAAGAAATAGGTTTTCAGAGATCGCCTAAAAGTGAGCAGAGTCGGCAATAGTCTGATAAATTGGGGTAGAGAGTTCCAGAGGATGGGGGAAGCTCTGGAGAAGTCCTGGAGATGAGCATGGGAGGAGAAAGGGAGCTAGAGGAGAAGGAGGTCATGCGAGGAGCGGAGAATACGATTTGGGTGATATTTGGAGACAAGATTGGTGATGTAATTTGGGGCAGATTTATAAATGGCTTTATATGTTATTGTTAATGTTTTGAATTATATTGTTGAGCAATGGGAAGCCAGTGGAGGGATTGGCAGAGAGGGGTGGCAGATATGGAACGGTTAGTAAGGTGGATGAGTCTGGCAGCAGCATTCATGATAGACTGAAGAGCGGATAGCCTGCGATGAGGTAGGCCAATGAGGAGGGAGTTACAATAGTCAAGGCGAGAGATAACAAGGGAGTGAATAAGTTGCTTAGTGGTTTCCGAGGTTAGGAACGGGCGTATCTTGGAGATGTTGCGGAGGTGAAGTCTACATGATGTGGACAGCGATTGGATTTGGGACTGGAAGGACAGATGGGAGTCTAGTATTACACCTAGTACCCTGGCATGAGGGGAGGGACTGATTGTTGTAATATTGATCTTGATGGAGAAGTCAGGGGAGGGGGCACGGGCTGGGGGGAATACGAAGAGCTCAGTTTTGGAAAGATTGAGTTTGAGGAAGTGGAGTGTCAACTTTTTTTTTTTTTTTAGTCAACTAAAATGTACTGCAGATTTACTCGACTAAAATGCAACTAAAACAATTCAGATGACTAAATTATGACTAAAACTAAATCAAAATTTGATGTCAAAATTAACAGTGATAGCAGGTACCTCCAGGAGTGCCCATCATCACTTTATTTTTAATGTTCGCCCTAGAGCTTCAAAACCGGGGATTGCTTTGTTATGCTAATTTCAACCAGAAAAAGATCTTGTCAGAATTAGTGGAATGGCAGGGTTTACCCACTTAAATCCCATTGATCTGTTATTTGTACAGCTTTAAGGCTATAGATGTACACAATTCTCCTCAACCTTTTCCAGGATGATTCAACTCTGGTCTCACAGACCCATCGCTTGTTATTATAACTGAAATCCTGAATTTATGCAATTACTATGCATTACACTAACATAGTATGCATAACCTAACTGTTGTAAACTTCTTGCAGGAGCTATTGCTGGATACAACACCGGAGCTGGAAATGTGAGGGACATAAATGATGTTGACCGTCGCACAACTGGAAAAGACTATGCCAATGATGTTGTTGGACGAGCACAGTTCTTCAAAAGTAAAGGATATTAAAGCTGAGGTTCAAAACTGAACTCCAGCCTTAATGCTTAGTCTTGCACAGTTGTACTGGCTCCTCTGATGTACTGAAATTGTGTGCTCTGATTTCATTGTACGCTGTGAGCTTCTCTTCCTACGTATGTATGATTCATAAGTATTGTACACTGGCATTTATTGTTTATGTCCCACATTCATGCTGAACATCTTATACACACACAATCTTTTAGTTCTCCTGGTCTCAGGATATGTTGACTGTAACCAATACCTGCCTAAGGCATACAATGCATAATATTATTTTCGGGTGCACCAGAAATTATTCCAGCTTTACAATTTGTACCACCATCTGGTGAATCTTTTCAGCTTTATTGGCCTGATACCAATGTCAATCCTAAATATGATATCTGCAATGAAATTCATTTCTTTATATGTCTTAAAGTTGGTATTTTCAGAAAATTAAATGAAACCACACTGATACCTTGTTAGTATTGTGTGGCTTTTACGTATGTTTGCAAGAACATTTAACCAAAAACTTGTTTTTTTTTTATTATAGTAATAAAATCCACTTGAAAAGGCCCTTTTCCTGGCATGTAGGAGCTGGGAGCTGAAAATGTGTATTGGCCATAAAATGCACTGCAGCCAAAACTGTTAGCACTACTTTAATTGCATGCCAGAAAGGCAGCAGTTACAGCAATATCACCATTATGAAAGTTGTGTTAAATGTTTATTCTTTTAAATTTAGTAATTGACTTTTCAATTTATTACGGATATCATCACACAGCTCAGATCATTCACTTTTTTAAAGCCAAATCCTATTTTCCATGATAAATAAGTCTTCAGATAGAAATATCTCTTTTTTTGCCTCTGCAATGAAAAAATAAAAAAAATGAATAAAATGAGTATCTATTAAGAAATCATGGCTAGATGTCCAAATTTATACATGTGTATACAGTATTTCTTCAAGTACTGGTTCAGTTGTCTGTTAATATGTGAATATATAACTGTTAGTAAAGTTAAACTTTAACTGGTTGCCAACCAGCCACAGTGTTTTTACTGCGACAAGGCAGCGCAGTGCCGTTTTTAAATGGCGCTCTGCAAAACAGTTAGGGGGCACTCGCGAGGCGCGTGCCCGCCCTACCCGTCCCACCGATCGCGGCAGCGGGTGTCCATCACCGGGTCCCAGCTGGTCATTACCCGCCGGATCCCAGCGATTACTGGCAATCACTGACAGAGAGCACGGCTGCAGTGCAAGTCTGCTCTCTGTCAGTCCAGAGCACGCTGAACCTGAGAGAACAGTTTCTCTCTCGGATCAGCTTGTTCCCGTGAAGTACACCCCCCCCCCGCCCCCTAGTAAGACACAACTGTAAACAACTGTAAGGCCTAAGGCCTCATTCACACAGGGCATACTACAGGGAGGCCATGTTTAGCTGCACAGGTATTATGTGCATCCTCATACAGGCAGTTCAATTGATGTCAATTGGGACACAATTGGGACACAGTAGCTGCACGGGAATGCACAGATAGTCCCATTCATGTCTATTGGGACACAGCAGCTGCATGGACACAGCCACCGCTCCCAATTTGACATCAATGTGGGTGCCTGTGTCTGAACTCACACTGTCTGCGATTGGGTCCATGCATCTGCACCTACACAGATATCAGATCTGTCCTTGCAGCCACTGCATCCCAATTGACATGAACAGGGATGGAAAGAACACCTGTTTAGAATAATGAAAACCTCCTGCACACCTACCTAGATCACTTAATCAATAAACTAATGAAGCTGTCAACATCCAATCATATACCTTATAATCTATAGACAAATTACACAGTGAATGATGTAGCGCTATGTAAAAACTAAGTGCATAAGTGAATATCATAACCAAAATATAAGTGAAAAAAATAAACATGAATATAAATAATGTAAAATAAAGCAAAATACACAACGTGACTGAGTCCTCATAAACTCCTAGCAATGTACTGTGATGTCCAAAACGGAACCTGCTCCTCCTGGGATCATAAAGGTGAAAAAAAATAAAGATGTGAATAACAGTCAACAAAGTGATACAAGAAAGTATCTACAATACTCACACAATAATGTGTGTGTGAATAGATCCTAATGTGGATCTGAAAGTGATGGTGAACATACAAATAGTCCAAATGGGACTAGTGCATAAAGTATGTCCAAAATGGGACTGAAGAAGAAGAAAAACGCATGTAAATAAAAATGCTAACAAACCCTCTCCAAAAGAACCAAAAATAACCCCAATAAAATACAAAAACAGTGCAAACAGAACACACACGTGACCACAAGCGCGATAGTATATATAAACTGTCACAGAAAATAAACATAAAAATCCCTAATAAACGCATGACACTAAAATGTGTGTAAAAATGAAAAAAACAAGTAGATAAATGTCCAAATTGGTGTTGGAACACCACGTAATCCAAGAAAATAAACACCCGTGAATGTGGGTGGTAGATGTCCGTGACAACAAGAAGGTATCCACAAATGGCTGCAATACATGCTCACCTCCTTGCCTCGACCCGCAAAGGGCCAAAACACCAGTAGGATCACTAAACTGGATCCTCCATGAATACAACTCCGCTAGAACCACGTCTCGTCGACTCTCCCTGCATCGATCTCCCCCTCAAGGGTAAGCTTAATAGTGGCAAGCTCCTCTCCAGGCAGATAGGTATGATGTGGCCAATTATCTCATTAGAAAACACAAGCAAAATCTCCCAATAGTGCAATGTAATCCCTCCTAGATTGTAAGCTCCCAGGATCAGGCCCTCCTAACCCTCTTGTATTGAACTGTATTGTTGCTGTATTGTCTACCATTATATTGTAAAACGCTGAGCAAACTGTTGGCGCTATATAAATCCTGTATAATAATAATAATAATTTTAAAAACAGCATCTTAAGTATGGAATAAAAAAAATAAGGGCGTATACAAGGTGGAGATTTTACTTTCACCAATAGGAAAAAGTTCATTCAAATTCAGCCCATATATGCACAGAGCGTGATAAACTACTGCACATGTCCTGTATGGATGTGATATGGGCAGTCTAGTATTCTAACCGTATCTCATAGACAGAAGAACATTTAGAAAAAAACGTACAAGACACAAAAGAAAGAAGTGCAGACCTCAGCAACATTGATCTTAACCCTTTCACCCCCACTCTGGATGAAGGAGCACAGAGGGGCACCTTTGGACAGCACAATTGTCAGTCTCTGGGGAGGGGAGTGTTAGATGTACTCGCAGATTTAGATACACTAACAAATTAAAGCAAAACTCCAGCTCACAGTGCAGTTATACAAACAGTTACAGCAACGTTTTTTTTTTTTGGGGGGGGGGAGGTTAAAGGTTTTACATATAATAAATAAAAGCTGATCATGGTAAGCACCCCTGTCAGTGGTAAATGGTTTGTCTCACCACTGTAACTGATACATTTGCAGGAGAGCTTGTTTTGTTGAAAAACAACAGACGTACTGGTCAGATCACCAGGTAAAAATAAAAGAAAGAAAGCCTAAAAAGAAAATCAATGCAGCCATCACATCTAAGAATTGGAAATATAGTAATTGCTTTCTTTTGGGATTAATCCCACTTTAAATTATATCTAAAACCAACACCATTTATTTTTTTTTTGATAAACACCATTTATTTTTTTTTTACAGAATGGGAAATGTTAGGTTTTCTGTTCTTGTACAATCCCCTCTTTTGTCACTAAAACAGGTAGATTTCGGTGGTTTATGGGTTACTTTAGTAAATTTTCCCTCTCCTTCTTTTCCAGTGACAGAGATGAAATTGTGGATTTCCCATCCCATCCTGTCTTAGTTTTGCCAGTTTTAAAAAAAAATGTTTACATGTCAAACTGGTGAAAAAAGGATTTCCTTTCATTCAGTAACTGTCCGTCTGTATCAGATGTATGGGCAGACAGCTACACAGACAGTCTGCAGGAGCCTGACACTGCACCCATGATCTGCTGATTGTGGGTGCAATGCTTTACAGCAGGCATCACTAAATGGCAGTTCTGGATGGAGGGAGGGAGCTAGCTGCCTGAGGTTAACAAGCAGGTGATTGGTTGCTGGGATGAAGGGCAGTCCTAGCCATCAATCACTGTCTGTGTAAGGTAGGACAGTGGGGGGCGGGTGAAGTTAAAGGGGCTAAGGACATTAGTGTGAAGGGGGGCTGATGCGTAAAGGAGTCGAGAACTGAATGTGGGGGGACTGAGGACAGTAGTGTGGGCTGGGTTGAGGACATTAAACTTAAAATGGATGAGCTGAGGCCTGAAATGTGAGTGGCTAGAGGCTGTGACATGGGGGGCTGAGGACAGTAATGTGGGGGCTAAGGAATGTGGTTTGTGGAGGCTGAGGAAATTAAAGTTGGGGGCTGAGAACTGTAATGTGGGGTGGCTGAGGACAGTAATGTGAGGGCTAAGGATAGTAATGTGGGGAAATGATGTAAGAAGTGGAAGAGAAGGGGAGAGTACTGTTGGGGGGGAATTTGTTGTCAAAGAAGTGTGAGAACACTACTTTGAAAGGAGTGGAGGGGGGTGATGTAAAGGGGAGCTGAGGACACTCATCAAAGGGGATTTTGCTGTGAACGAGGACACTGTGATGTGCATTGGGTAGGTCAGCCCATTCATTTTAATGGGCTGCACTACCCTCAAGAAACATGAAGTCCCTGACCCTTTTTCTTTCAAAATCGCACCGCAGCAACATGTGGTTTGGCACACACGAAAATGCACCGCAGGTGCCTACATGAAATTCGGATCTCTGTTGAATGGAAACTTTACTGCCTGGACCTCTGTGAATTTTAACTCAATACCCCTGCTTTACAGGCTCCTTAAAAATAATAATAATAATAATAATAAATGCACACTTTTTTCTTTGCAACAAAAATGTGCATTTAATGTTTTTGTGAACATATCCTTTGAAGTATCATATGTTTTCTAACACAGCTAGAAAAGGAGAACTGGGGGAATCTGGCTTTTTCACAAAGGTGGCCAAGGGT